CGACATATCGTCTTCAAGTGGTTCATCACGAGATTCGGCGTGCGAGTTCTAGATAGAGGTTTTGGACCCGCTCACGTCTGAGGACTTTGCATGGCTTCCTCTCCCGACCACAGACTGTTTGCCGGGACCGCAATGCCCAACACTTAGCGCTCATCTCCACACTTACCTTTCCTTCTATGCACCACCAACTTCGCCGATGGATGACGAAGTCGCGATGGGGGACATCCTGGCATACGTTACCAAGGTGGCCCGCGAGTTTCGCACGCAGCGGTATGATAAATACAATGCACCGCTCATGTATGTCCGCATCCAGGTTGGGCAAGCGTCCTGCAGTGCTTAGCAGGATAGCGGTGCGACTTGCAACTTCATGAGCCAGTCCTTTATGCAAGGAGCTAGCCTTGGCGCACAAGTTCGGAGAAAGGCAAGCCCAACGGCGATCAAGTTCGCGGATGGAAAGACGCAGCAACTACTCGACCGTTACATCGAGGCTGTACCGGTCTACTTCGCACCTCATGCATGCGAACCGGTGACGTTTGATATTCTCGACACGGGCTTCGACATCATTCTGGGAATGCCTTGGCTCGCAAGTGCGGATCACACGGTCAACTTCCATCGGCGGACTCTTAGCGTTCGCGACGCTTTCGACGCGGACGTAGCGTGTACGATTCCTCTACCGCACTCTTCGATCTAGTGCCAAGTGGTGACGGCCAAATCATTCCGGGCGACTTGTGCTTACGAGCAGCCCGAGGAGATCGGCATATGTTTCCTACGGACCGTCGCGGTAGCCGACTCTTCACCCACGGACTTGTCTTCGGAGCCCCGTGTGGTACGGTTGCTGGACGAGTTCGCCGACATCTTCGAGTCACCTACCGGTGTGGTGCCGGGTCGGCCAATCTCTCACGAGATCATTCTTGAGGCCGGTGCCGTGCCGCCGAAAGGTTGCGTCTATCGGATGAGCGAGGAGGAGCTTGAGGTACTCCGCGCACAACTCGATGATTTGTTGCCCAAGGGCTGGATCCGCCCGAGTAGCTCCCCATATGGAGCACCAATTCTCTTCRTCAGGAAGAAGAACAAGGATCTACGATTGTGCATCGACTACCGCAAGCTCAACGCGCAAACCGTCAAGAATGTGGGGCCTCTTCCTCGCATCGACGATCTTCTCGAGCGGTTGGGCGGTGCGAAGTATTTTTTCAAGTTGGATTTGAAATCAGGATACCATCAAATCTCGATTAAGCCAAATGATCGCTACAAAACCGCATTCAAGACGCGGTACGGGCATTTTGAGTGGGTGGTCATGCCTTTTGGCCTCACCAACGCCCCGGCGACATTCCAAGCGGCGATGACCAATGAGTTCYGTGCAATGTTGGACYGGTTCGTGCTGGTCTACTTAGACRATATTCTCGTCTAYAGTCSGACATTGGAGGATCATCTTGGACATCTTCRACGAGTGTTGGAGAYGCTCCGCCRTGCCAAGTACAAGGCCAACGGCGACAAGTGCGAATTTGTCCGGCAAGAGYTGGAATACTTGGKCCATTTTGTCACACCGGAGGGCATCTGTCCGCTATCGGACAAGATTCAGGCCGTCCAAGAGTGGCCGGAGCCTCGGAAYGTCACGGATGTCYGCTCGTTCCTCGRTCTTACCGGCTAMTAYCAGCGCTTCATCAAAGKCTACTCCAAGATCGYGGCCCACTTGAACAAGCTTCAGTGCGAGGATCGRCCGTTTGACTTTGGAGAGGAAGCGCGGGTATCATTCCTCGCTCTCAAAGCCGCGCTATTGTCTGCGGAGGTCTTGCGGATATAYGACCYGCTCGCGCCTRCACGTGTCACTACGGATGYGTCAGGCTATGGCATTGGTGCAGTCCTCGAGCAACATRATGGTGTGGRCTGGCACCCGGTCGAGTACTTCAGCAAGAAAGTGCCACTCGTGCATTCCATTGACGATGCACGCAAGAAGGAGCTCCTCGCCTTCSTCCACWCGCTCAAGCGGTGRCGGCAGTTCCTCCTTGGTCGAAGCCAATTTCGCTGGGTAACGGACAACAATCCGTTGGTCTTCTACAAGACCCRAGACACCGTCAACAGCACCATCGCTCGATGGATGGCTTTCATCGACCAGTTCGACTTCTTCCCCGATCACATTCCCGGGAAGTCGAAACGTTTTGCGGATGCTCTTTCACGGCGTCCGGATCACTGTACCGTGGTCTACTCGACTTTCGAGATTGACGATGACCTGCGGAACAGCTTCATCCGCGGTTATCAAGCCGACCCCGAGTTTTGCGACAAGTACGTGAATTGCTCCTCGCCTAATCAGGCTCCTTCTCACTACCGGATTCAGGAGGGTCACTTGCTTGTCCACACGTGGGGGAAGGACCTTCTTTGCGTACCAAGTGATCCTCACTTGCGTATGCGGCTTCTTGGCGAGTTCCACGACGCTCCCGCCACCGGACATTTTGGAGTCAATCGCACGATTGGCCGACTTCGCCAGCGATTTTGGTGGCCCGGCCTTCTCGGCGACGTCATGCGCTATTGCGAGTCATGCGAGGTTTGTCGACGCTTCAAATCCCGCAACCATCATCCGTACGGCGAGCTACGACCATTGCC